CATCCACTATGAAAAATTGAAATTGTATGAAAGATTAGGATTGAAATTGACTAAAATTCACAGAGACATAATGTTTGAAGAGAGTGCATGGCTAAGTAAGTACATTGAGCTCAATACAAATTTGAGAACAAAAGCTACTAATGACTTTGAAAAAGAGTTTTTTAAACTCATGAATAACTCAGTATTTAGAAAAACAATGGAAAACATTGAAAACAGAGTTGATGTTAGATTAATCACTAAAAGAGAAGAAGCAATTAAACTAGCATCAAAACCAAACTACGAAAGTAGAATAATATTTGATGAAAACTTAATTGTAATACATATGAAAAGGACAAAACTAGTTTATAATAAACCCATTTACTTAGATATGTGTATCTTAGATTTAAGTAAGATATTAATGTATGAATTTCATTATGATTGCATCAAAAGTAAATATGGAGATAAAGCAAAACTACTACTCACAGATACAGACTCTTTAGCATACAAAATAAAAACAAAAGACTTTTATTCAGATATTTCTAATGATGTTGAAAGTAAATTTGATACAAGTGAATTTGATAAAAATCATCTAGCTGTTCAAAATGGATTTAAAGTAGGTATTAATAAGAAAGTATTAGAAATGTTTAAAGATGAATCTGCAGGAAAACAAATTTAAGAATTTGTAGGTCTAAGATCAAAATTGTATTCATACAAAGTACATGGAGAGGATAAAAAAAAATGTAAGGGAGTAAAGAAAAATGTAGTTAAAAAATATATAACACATGAAGATTACAAAGACTGCCTTATGAATAGAAAAGATCAAATGAGAAAAATAAATGTCATAAGATTTCATTTACATGATGTTTATACAGAAGAAATAAACAAAATAGCATTAAGCGCAGAAGACAATAAAAGAGTTATTTTAGAAGATGGTATACATACATTAGCATATGGACATTATAAATTAAATATAGAAAGCAAAGCATTGGTTTCTTTGGAACCTAAACCAAACTTATCATTTCAGATTGACTGGAAATAAACAGACAGGCAGGTAAATAGACATAAATAAAAAAACAGGTAAGTAATTTTTTATGGAGATTCAAGTACAAATGAATTTCATTGGATTTGCTGGTATAAAGACGGAGATGTGAAATTAAGTTTTGACTCTTATGCACAAACACCTCCAGTTAAACTTGTTCAATACTTACACAGTCCTGTTTATTATAATAGTGAAAGAGTTCAGTTTGGAGATACTTCATTTTGCGAACACTTGTGTCTCTATGTTTTAAAAAAGCTAGATGAAGGAAATGATTTTCAAAGTATAATCAATTCACTTTGGTAAATCTTAGATATTTTAGAAAAATATATTAAATAAAAATAATGAGTATATAAAATAAGTGTTGATATATTTGGTAATTCAGTTTTCGGATTAACTGCTTATGATTAATCTGAAAATTTAAATCTTAATACTAATACAGACAATAGAGCAACTTCTGACATGGATTTAAATACAAATAAACTCATAAATGTAGCTGATCCTACTAATGCACAGGATGCAGTTACAAAGAGCTACATTGATAATATACAAAATCAAAGTTTAGATATCATTCCCAATACAAGTTTGACATGCTTTGGATTAAAATCTCAAGTATTTATAAATATTATACTTAAAAGTATAATACTTTTATTTTAAAGTTCTTACAATACAATTTACAATTTTTTCATTCTCATGTAAATAATAACACTTTTTATTATTATCAACATATTTATATAAGGTTATTTTTTTACCTTTTTTATTTATCATTAATTTCTTTTCTATTAATTTACATGGATTAAATGAGCGATTCTCCACGTTTTCTTTTATTTCTTTTTTAGAATGAGCATATTTACATTTATATTGTAAAGGGCATTCTTTTTTATTAAGTATATACTGACATAATTTAGTTTTAGCTTTTTTTAATTTTAGTATTTCTGACTTTTTAGGATGAAATAATTTACAAGTTTTATTCTTACATTTAGGATATTCAAAACAAATATTAATATGCTTATATTGACATGAAGCTTTAGTACATATTAATCTTTCCTTTACAGTATTACATAAAAGAATATCATGATTGTATTTACATTTTCTTCCAAAAGGACAGAAATTATCTTTTAAAATATTTTTACAAGAAATAGGTAATTTTTCTGCAAAATGAATTGTAGAAGGTTTTCCATCTTCTGTAAAACTAATTTCAACATCAAAAGGTTTTTCAAATTTAAATTTTTTATTTTTGTTATGTTTTTAAAAGAAATTTTATCTATAGGAGGATAATCATTATGAATATTATCATTGTAAACTGGGACAAAGTTAACCCATTTCAGTTTATCTTTATGTAATTCCATAATTTTTACTGTTTTTGAAGGAATTGGAATTACACATTTTTCTTGAATTTCTTCCTTATCAGAATCATCAAATATGAAATATGTATCATTTTCAGAATCATATTCAGAATCAGATTCTTCAAATTCAAAGTTTCTTATTTCTTCAAAAAGTTCAAAATCTTTTTGAAATTCCAATATATTATTAACCTCATCTAAATTTTGATTTTCATCTAAGATTTTCATTAAATTATTCATTATTATAATTTATATCATTTTCAAAAAAATGATTTTTATTGTAAAAACTTTAAATTATTGATAGAACATGTTTACTACTATGCATAGTAAAGCATGCACACTAAAAAGAAAAAAACGTTTTTTGAAATGAGTTAAATAATTTCTTTACATAATAAAAAATGATAGATAAAGAAGATTTAATGCAAGTAAGTGCAAAAGATATAATAAAACAAATGAGAAAAAATAAATTAAAAAATTAGAAAAAAAGAAAAAAGAAATAGAAGAAATGCAAATAAGCATAGAAGAGGTAGAAAATATTGAAAATAATATTCAAAAAGAAGAAATGAAAGAGATAGAAAATATGGAAACGTCTTTAAAAGCGATGCAATCAATTGTGAAATATATTAAAAAAAGAAAAGGAACTATAGATATAGAAAAAGAAAAAAAATTACTAGAAAATATAGTAAAAAATATACAACAACAAATAGAAGAAATAGAAAAGAAGAAAAAAGAAATAGAAAATATGAAAATTATTGCAAATGAAGTTAAAAAATATGTAATACATTCACAAGTCACATGACTGATGACGCCACGACAAGAAACAAAATTGACACTAATTTTTAAATCTAAAAAATTGATTTAAAAATTTATTTCATAATTATAATATTTATACACACTATGCTTGAAAATGAATCATATATTTAATTAAATATATGGTTGAATAAATAGTTGAAAATGCAAATGAGCCAGAACCGGCAAATCCTATCTACTTGTCACAATAAATATCTCACAAGAAAGTAGTAGTGTCTTTCTTAAAATGTTCAGACAAAAACCCACAGAATTAGTGTCCGTAGAATACAAACAAAATTTAGTTGATAGAAAAAAAGTTATTAAATTTTTAATGTATCGATCAAGCTACTTTAAACCTTTTAAAGTATTTTAATGCATTTTTGAGCATAATAATTATATTTACTTCATTCTCAAGATTTTTGTTAGAGAGATAAATAAATAAATGAGATCAAAAAGTTTTAATTTATGTGAAGAAGAATTATATACATAACATTGAGAATGATAAAAACATTTCTGAAAGTAATAAAGAAAAAATTTGATCATTTGAATAAATATGGATGGTAGTTTACACATGTGGTAGTTTACATATATATGTGCTCTAACATCCAATTAGAATTATAAGTATTACACTAATGTTGATGTAACTCCATCTTCAGAGCTACAATTGATTAATCAATGTTTCAAAGAGCTAGATAAAAAAAACTCTTCAGGAATGCATTGATTTAATCTTCATAACTGTTTGTTGCCTTCATCATACAAATTAATATTGTATTAAGACATAACTCACTACAAAAAAAGACAAACACCTAAACCACTCGCTAACTTGTGCAACATCAATAACTTTAAGAAAAATCTTGATATTGAGACAAACATACCTAAAGTGTGCACTATACAATAGATATAAACAATATATTTAAACAATAGATATAATATAAACATATATATAAACAATAAAATGTAACAACGATACAAAATAAATATAAATGATATAAACAGTAAAAATGTAAGAAATATATCTTACAATAATCTATCTTAAAATAATAAATGTATACAATAATAAATAATAAAAACAATGACAAACAAACAAATCTAAAAGATAGATAAGTTGAGGTACCTTACCATATTCAATGAGCAAATATAGGCATAACTATATTGGAACATGTGTATCTATATTTGTACAAAATTAAAAATATATGCAAAAACCAATAAAAACAAAGTCTAAAAATTCAAATATCTTGGATTGTTTGAAATCACAAATCATTTGCATTTTATAAAAGTTCATTTTAGTTTCAGAATTTCCAGCAACCACAAAAAACCCAGAGTAACTTAACAACCATAAAAAAAGTATAAATAATAATTTTTAACTTATTATATTGGCTCTCGTGGTTAAGGAGTTTATAACAATTTTTATTAAATGGAATTATAATGCAGACTGACTATAAAAAAAACTGCTTGATTTCATTTTCTATTATCTATATCATTGTGTTACATCATTATTAAGTAGAGTTTAATTTTATTTTTGTAACATTTATTTAAAAATAGAAAAAAACTATTAAATTATATTATTAAAAAAATTGCATTTTCATTTCATGTGAAAAATATAAAGTTAATATAAAGCAGTTTAACTTTGTTCCACAAAATCATTATTAAACTTAAAGTTTCCCATATTACATCATGACATAAAAATTATGAAATTTTCACAGAATAACTAAGTAAAAATTAATATAGTTTTTTTAAGAAAAGTTTATATTTAGCACAGTATTTTTTTAGATCACAATCACCGACTTAGACAGACATAGATGCATTTTTAATAATATCTGAAAAAGTTTGCTGAATAACAAAACAAATTTTACCATTGTTGTTATATCAAAATGATATAATCTAGGAAAAAAAGCATTAGGCCTTTCTTCAAATTGAAGTAGTCTTTCAACTATTGCATTAACATTAACCAATGTCCCATGCACAGGTACAATAACAACACTGCTCTTGTTTTGACTATTACTCATATTTGCTTGGTAATTAGCATCCAAATGAGAAGAAAGTTGTGAGCCACATTTTTCTACAAATAATGATTTCCCCATTCCACTCCTCCTTGATTTCACCACAATTGATTTGTATCTAAAACAGCATAAAATTAACAAGCAAGAATCTTTTTAATTCAATAGGAAATTTTTATTAAGTTCCAATATTAAAACTTAAAAATTTACATCGATTCATTGAATATAATTCCAGCCTTTTGATCTGAAAGTTTGTTTCGAAGACATTGTGTAAGTTTCTCACTAATTTGATCTCTATTAAGATAACTTGACATTTTTACTTTAAAATGGTCAAGAGCTATTGCAAGATATGAATTGTGGTGGTTTTCACTGCTACAAAGTACTACAAGTGGACTCATATTACCTAAAATTAATAAAATGATACAAAAAATAAAAAATTAAAAGAGTACAAATACAAATAAAAGAGAATTAAAAAAAAAGATTCCAAGACCTATATGAATTGTCTTTTGCAAGAATAAATAAGCTCTTTCACATGTTTCATATTTTACGCTTTCATTTATTACCAAACAATACAAGCCATTTTTGTTGTCTACAGCTCGCATTATTAACAGTTCTATCTAAATGAAAAATTTTTAAAGTATGATTTAAAAATTTTTTTTTAATAAAATCTTAAGAGTAAACAAATAAAACTAATAATAAAAAAATATATAATTTTTATTTGTTTTATTATTATTAGTTAATTTTATTATTATGAGCCAAATGGGCCAAAAGCTCGCCAAAACTAAAAAAAAAAATCAATTTATAAAAAGAGAAATCTTTTTTTTTTGATAATTTCATTAATTTCAAATCAAAGATAAAGAAGACTCCAATAAAGCAAAATATTTTCAACAAAATATCATTTTAGGTGAAATTCTTTTTGAAGAAATTTGGCTCCTTAAAAAAGCTTTTAAAAAGGCAACCAGGGAAAGTTTTTTGCTCTATTTTGCCATTATCTATCATACATAAAGATTTAAAAAAAAAAATTTTTTTATTGAGTTTCTACTAGTTTTTACTTTTTTTTTAATTTAATCTTTTTAGAGATGGCAGAAAGAAGAATGCAAAGTATTTAGACACATATAATTTAATAATGTTTGTGCTAAGAAAATTTGTTTTGCAGAACAAGTAAGTAAATACATATTAATGCTTGGTCATGCAGCACAATCACTTGATCATACAATTATTTAAATATAACAATTAGTTATACAAGTAAAAACAATGTTAACAATATAATTTAAGTATAATAAACTCTAGGAAAGATTCACCTCTTCAATTGAAACAGAATCATCACAAAGTAAAACTTCCTCTGAAGTAGGTAGGATTCCATCTTTATAAATATAAATCTCAAGAACTGCGTACATGATGTCATCTTTATATATAAAAAAAAAAACAGTATAAAAAAAAAACTTGTACAAAAATTCTTCTTAAGTAATGAAAACATTATTCCTGTCTTACCATGAGACAAAACTATTAAACTTGGTCTATCTTTGTTAATATATGGAGGAACAATCCTTTTGGGATACTGAAAATTTGTTATGTCTGCAAAAATAAAAGAAATAAGAAGTTGTATTTTTGAATCAGTGCTCAAAACCATGCAAAATAAAATCTTGAAATAAAGTAAAAAAGTCATTGAAAAAATTAAATCTTTCTAATATTTTTTAATATTTTCTCTTTTGTTTCTTAATTTTCAAAAAAAAAATTAAGAAACAAAAGAGAAATTTGATGATTCTCAAGAAAAATAACATATTATGGTGGCAAAATAGCCTTTTTTTATCATATGATTTCAACCCAATGTAAATTGTGTTTATTGTGTAATTGTAAATAATCAAGCCAGAATCATTAAAAAATAAATATAATTGAATTAGAATAACTAAATTAATAACCAGGATAAAAAAAATTTTCTGAAATATAAATTAAAATTCAACAAGGAATTCCAGTAAAATATCATTCTAAAAATTAAATATTCAAAATCAATAATCTAGTTATATAATTTTTACTTTGGTGTTTTTTTAGTTGCTATTGTTGAAAACAAGTCTTTAATCAAAGTTTTTAAAGTCAAACTTTGTTATATTATAAAATATATTATGCAATTAATATTGTATGATGGTATATCTAATAAATCATATATCTAATAAATTTTTTTTTTGTTTTTTTTTTGTTTTTTTGTTTTTTTGTATGTATTTAGGTGCTCCCAGAAATCCTTACGGTCTTATCATAGAGCACCCCGGGTGAGCATTTAACAGGAAGTTCACGCCTCCTTCCGTGTCAATGTCGCTTGTTGGGCTAGAGCTGGCATCGAACCTTGGACCTCTGGGTTCTGATCCAGAACTCTAACCACTGCGCCACGGCTGCTAAACCATATATCTAATAATTTATCTAACAAAAATCAATAAAAATCATTAGAAAAAAAACCTTTATATTGACATAAAAATTTGCCAAGTTCATTAATTGTCAAATACAGCTTATTTTCATCTTTTTCTTTTGCATTTGGTCTAAAATTTAAAAGTTAAAATAGTTAACCTGTTGAAACAAAAAATATTAGTTACTTAAATTTACAGTTTAACCACTTTGTTGTTGTTTTTATTACATAATAAAATTTTGATTTCAATCAAGATAATAAGAATCAAGATAACAAATTTATAGTGTTAATAAATTAACAACATTTATAAGTAAGGGAAAGGGAGGGTAAGAGTGTGCGATTGGTAAAGAGTGTGCATGTGTAATTCCAACTATTGGCAGCACTGCAAGCAAGTGATATTTTCATGTGTGGTGTGACAATTTGAATAATACAAGAACGCGTGTTGTTTAATTTAATTTTCTATCTGTATTTTGAAATATCTGATAAGATATGATTTCCATACTTTAGCATGTAAATTTAAAAGGAGTTTAGCTAATATTTGCATTTATTGTTTATGGAATATGATAAATATTACATTGAATTTTAGTAATTTTAGTTCCTAACAACAAGTGAGGCAAGAATTTTAATTTGTGTAATGTGTTGCGATCTGGTTATAACTTTTAAAACACATTACAATAGCGGCCATGAGTGCACATCATATGTATTCTTAGGCGCAAATATTTCATACAACAAAAATTTACTTATCAAACAATGCAGTTTGGTATTTATTATTGCATGTTTTCTTTAATAATTAAACTTGTATTCAATTATTAAAAAAATTATTAATCACAGTTATTTACAGTTTAAAAATTACAAATGCTTTGAAATGCCACCATACAAACAAAAGACTAATAGAACTCTCATCACAACAGATATGATGGAAGTAGCTAAATGAATAATAAATGCTGATGAATATCAAAGAAAAGTAGCTAAAGATTTGGGTATTTGCAAGAGCTTTTTGAGGAAAAGACTCAAAACTGTAAGATAATTAAAGTTTTCTGGAATTTTGAATATTCTTTATTTATCTAATATGGTATATGTATAACATTTTACTGTTTTTGTTTGTTTCAGGCTATGATACCAGAATCTCTAGAACGTTTCAGAAATACTCTCAGTGATGAAATGGAAAAAGAGCTTGCTCAACACTGTAAGGATCTTGATAACAGATTTTATGGACTAACTAGATAAAGCATATCGTGAGGATTACTTTTGAACATATTGAACTGAATGGAATCTCTGCTAGATTCAATCGAGAAAAAAGATTGGCTGGCTAAAAGCACTTTGTAAATGTCATAATCCTTTTGTTAGGATTCTAGAAAAATTTAAGAATAAAACTACATTGCTCTTAGCAAGAGCTATGCAGTTTTATTTTGTAGGGCAAATCATGTAACTTTTCTCACTCTCCCACCTCATGCAAGCCATGTTATTCAGCCATTAGATAAGGGATTTTTTGCACCATTAAAAACTGCATATGTAGATGAAGCAAAAAAATGGCTTGTGCAAAACCCAGGTAAAGCAATTACATTATATAAAATAGGAGCTATTTTCAGAGCTGCCTACAGTACCACTGCAAAAGTGAATCTTGCAGAAAAAGATTTCAAATTTACTGGCATAGAACTGTATGATCCTAATGTGATAGATGTAACAGAATTGGCACTTCACAAGTCACTCTGAATGAAGAAATGGCATTAAATCAAAATACATTAAATAAAAGTGCATTAGATGAAAATTCATTGGATGAAAATGATTCGGATAAAAAATAATTGGATGAAAATAACTTGCAAGTTGAACAATCATTCCCCACATGTTCCAATAACATAAAAGTTCATATTGATACAATTGCTCCTCTTCCAAAAAAAATGGAAAGGCAAACTAAAAAGAAAAGACCATCTTAACAATCAACAGACATTACGTCATCTCCATATAAAAAGAAGCTAGAAGACATAGAAAATACGAGTCAAGAATCAAAAAAAGGCTAAAGCCAATGGAGCTAAAAAAAGAATAGAATTTTCTAAAAAAAATCTAGTTTTAAAAACTTTAAAAAAGCTAAAAATGGAAAAGTGCGCAATTCATTTTTTATAAAATTTATATTTTCAAGCTTTTCTTACAATGCAAAATTTGTATAATGTCTAAAGTTTTGTTATATATTAAAGATTATTGCATAAAAATTTCAACTGTCTATCATTTTAATTACTCTTTTTATGAATAAAAAACTCAGGTGCACACAAGTGTGTAGGAAATGTTTTTTTTTAATGAAATTAAAAATTTAAATATTTTTTCAGATGTCTAAAGAGATTTTAAGATATAGTATAATTTTTTTATAACTTTTTCTTTCACTTAACATGAACTCTGCTATTGTAGTTTAACCTCCTCCGGCTAATTGCCATATAGAGGTCACTTTACCAGAAGTCCGTAAAGACTGGTTGAGCTCCCGAAGGAGCGTCATATCCGCTCTACGGACTGAGAGTAAGGTGAGTTTAGGAAGAACGAAGATATGTTAGAGTAAAAGATAGTAGTTGAGTTAGAAAGATGGCATAGAGTAAGCGGACAGGATTGCACACGATTTCAGAGGGAGCAATTCGTACTGTTAGTTGGGTCACCTATTGTACGCCGACAAAGTAGTGATTCGAGTTCACTTAACATGAGCTCTTTCTCAACTTTATTTGTCGTCCAAAGAACACATAAAAAGTAACCTTTTATATAGAAATTTGCTTCTAAACTGCTTGCGGGTTTGTTTTATTATTAAAAAATCATCTTTTCTTACAGAAAAATGTTTGTTTGCTTAAAATCGGCTAATATTGTGCTTGTGGGTTTGTATTTTTTTTAATCTGTTTTTAATACTTGCTTTTTTAAAAAAAAATTTTTTAAATAAACTTGAAAAATATAACTTACAACATAATTTTGTATAATATTAATATAATAATATATAACATATGTGGGAGGACAAGGGTGGCAATCCAAATGAAATATTTGTACGGTATTTGTATGTTATTTTACTTTTTTATAAAAACTTTTTATCCTTTAAATAAATATATTTCGCCCCTTTAATCAAGGAGTCTTAATAAGCACGAACTAGCATAAGTGCAAACTAGCATAAGTTCAAGGTGCTGCAAAAACTGGCACAATTGCAAAGTGGCATAAGTGTAAAGAATAATAAGTTATCATATATATCATATATATATATATATATATATATATATATATATATATATATATATATATATATATATATATATATATATGATATATATGATATATATATATGTGTGTGTGTATATATATATATATATGATATATATATATATATATATGTGTGTGTGTGTTTATATATATATATATATATATATATATATATATATATATATATATATATATGTGTGTGTGTATATATATATATATATATATATATATATATATATATATATATATATATATATATACAATTAGCCTGTGTCAAAAAAAAAAAAAAAACACTGTACTCTCCTATCTTAGTCATTTGACCCAAAAAGACTATATATATAAAGTTTTAGAACTGTAGGACAAGTCTAACAGGATTACGTTGAAGTTGCTTTTTTGCAATTTTTGTTAAAAATAAGAAATTTTTTAATTTTTAATAATATTAAAAGTTTTTTTTTGTACTTTTTTGGAATAAAGTTTATAAAGTTTTTACTTAAAAAAAATTGCAAATACTAAAACCATCCTTAGCCGTTTATTTAGTGTCAAACAATCAGTCACTGCCAATTCAATTCTACATTGCAAAAACAGACTAGTTTTACTTTACGTTTTATTTCCAGCTAAATAAAATATTGAAAAATATTTTAAAAAGGGCAAAGCTAAAAGAAAAAAATATAGCTATTCTACCAATCCAAGGAGAACTTGTTACCTCCTAAAATATCCTATCAATGGTCTACCAGATAGAGAGCTTCCTACTATTGGAAATAGTTTGAGGTTTACTTTTGACAACTTGATATCTTTAAAAACTTCACTACGTAAATTTATTCTTTTTAATTTTAACTAATCTAACTCAAATTTAAATTAACCAAAATTAAATTTAAAAAATACGTAATATAACTATTTTTTGCCAGGTACTACTTATATCTGCAATTAGACAAAAGTTATAAATTCAAGCCCTGCAAGGAAAATATGGGTTGTCCTCAGGAAAATGGTGGATTTGATCTTGTTTGCCAAGACAACAAGTGTGACAGGGAGGATGGAAATAACTGTGTGGTGAAAGAAGTTCAGAGAATTTGGAAGAGAGCAGGATTTGGAGGTGCAATTCAGGCTGGTTCAGTCATAAGGTTATTTTATGTTTTATATTTTTTTAATGTTTTGTTTCTATGTAATATTTATCATTTAAACATTTCATGTTTTTCATAATTTGAACCCCTAAAAAACAGTTCTCTATTTTTAGAAAAAAGCTTTCCAAGATACAGAAAAAATACATAAATTTGCTTCGAGTGACAAATATTAAATAAAAGAAAAAAGCACAATCAAATCATAATTTGGTTTTAGAGAATTTGATTTGCTTTTTGACATATCCAGATCAGATTTCAAGCAGAGGATAAGCCAGGATAGAGATCATGAAAAAGTTCAAGAAGACTTAACCTTCCTGGAGGATCAGAGAAGAGAGAGAAAGATGATTATTTTAGGGGAAGACAAGGAGTACTTGAAAAAAGTGACAAATTATTTTGCAAGTAGAACAAGTTTTTATTCATTTTGCTGTTTTTTTAAGCATTTTCTTTTTATTTAGATTGAATTTTTTTTTTATTTGCATTCACTCCCAACAAGGCTGCAAGCAACCACTATCAAGTTGGGAGTTACTAGGAAAAAATAGAACAGAGTTATAGAGCAAGGAAACGGTTGACAGAAGACTTGAAAAGTTGAAGGTTATATGAGTCAGGAAAACATAAAGATGGAAGAGAGTTCCAAAGGATTGAAGTGCGGGGAAAAAAACTAGATGAATAAAAGATTTTAGAGCATGCAGGGACAGATACAGTAAACGAATGAGACTTAGCTGAATGACAAGTAAAACGAGAATGAATTTTAGTTGATGGAACTAGAGATGATAACTCCTTTGAGCAGTGACCATGATAG